AAACTACCCTCAAAAGTTAAAGCTGCCTTTTACTCTCTCGAAGTGCGTCCTTATTTCCCAAACCCCCTAAGATGTTTTAAATGTCAGAGGTTTGGGCATACTTCGCAAAGATGCTCAAATTCTGAGATATGTATATGCGGACGACCCAAACATGATACAACACCTTGCGACACACCTATGCATTGCGTTAATTGTGAAGGTGAACACGCAGCCAATTCAAGAGCTTGCCCTAAGATGAAGGAGGAAATAGCGATTCAAAAAGTTAGGACTATGGAAAAACTGAGCTATCTAGAAGCAAAGAAAAAAGTAATCAGGCCCATTCCTCAAAAATCCTACTCCGAAATTGCGGCGACCACAAGTACGTCAATTAATAATATAATACAAGAGTTATTACCGCAATTAACTAAGTCTATTGAGAGTAAAATAAAAGAAACCCTGGATAACATAATCAGTACCAAGAAGCATAATTTTAATACTAATTCCTTCTTACCTCCCGGTCAATATTTTTCTGATACATCTACGCAACCTTCTGTAGCCGAAAAAAGGAAGCGTACCAGAACCCGAACAAGGGACGATGATACCGATGAAAGTGTATCATCACATATCAGTGAAGCATCAACTTCTACTAAAAAGAAAAGAGGCTGGCCGAAAGGGAAACCCAGGCGGCCTCCCAACTTCGCAAGAAGTGATCAAGAAACTGAAGCCAGTCAAACTACTGACCTTACCATTGAGATATAGCCACCTGTGATATTTTCTACATAAATTTTATTATATATTTACGTTCGTATGTGTATGTATGTATGTGTGTATATGTGAGTATATCTGATCTTATTTATACATATACTATATATTTTTTTTTCTATAGACTATTTATATATTTTACTTATTAAGCTATTTATTTATTTATTCATTTATTTATTAGCTTATTTATTTATCTATTCCACGAGTATATATATATGCCCCTTTTGAGCTCCACAACAAGCTAACGAACTGTTTCTTTTAACAAACTAGTCATAATGTCTTCACTAATACAATGGAACATGAACGGATGCTGTGCACACTACCCTGAACTAAAATTGATAGTCTCGGAAGTGGCACCCTTTTGCATATGTATCCAGGAAACTCATTTTTCTCCTGAAACCAACTTCAACCTGCGGGGATTCAACTGTTTCAGGAAAGACGTAATCCCGACAAACCGATCTAAAGGAGGCGTGGCAATTTTCATAAAAAGTGAATTACAGGCAACTGAGGTACACATTCAAACCCCACTACAGGCGGTAGCAGCACAATCGCTTTTTCCATTTAAAATAACAATATGTAATATATACTTACCAGATTTCAATTGGAATGAAGAGCAGATTAATAACATAATTACTCAACTGCCTACTCCATATATCATAGTGGGCGACTTTAATGCACACAATCCTCTATGGGGATCACAACAACTTGATGTTCGAGGTCGTATAATCGAAAGAATCTGCGAAGAATCAGAGTTGATTATTTTAAATACAGGAGATGGAACTTACCTCAACTCCAGGTCTAACTGCTTTAGTAGTATCGATCTGTCCATCTGCTCACCAAGTCTGGCATCATCCTTGGAATGGAAAACTATGCCTGAACATCTGTACTCCGACCATGTGCCAATAAATATCACTTTTGCTTCAAAATGTCCAGAAAGAACATTCCATACAACCTGGAACATCAAGAAAGCCAATTGGGATACTTACAAAAATAATATTGGTGAACTCCTTTTAAAGGATAACATACACGACTCGGTGCAGTCTATAACATCTGTCATAGTTAGTGCAGCGAACCTCAGTATTCCCAAAAAAAGTGGTAACATCAAAAATGTGCAAGTGCCATGGTGGAACGATAAGATTGGAAAAGCAGTCAAAGAAAAAAATAAGGCCTTAAGAGAATTCAAACGCAACTTCTCTACTAACAACTTAATTGAATTCAAGAAAAGAAGAGCGGAAGCTCGTCGCATAATTTTAAAAAGTAAAAAATCATCATGGCAAGAATACGTGTCACATATATCTAAAGAAACACCACCATCGGAAGTCTGGCACAAAATCAGAAGTATTCAAGGAAAGCATTTCCAAGCTCCATCCCCTATACTGCTAGTCAACAATATAGAAATTACAAACTATGAAGACATTTGTAATATATTAGCTACACAATTCCAAGAGACAAGCAGTTCGGATAGCTATAATCTTGCCTTCGTAGCTAAAAAGGCTAAGGCTGAAAAAAATATATTGGAAATAGTTGATGACTCGTTATTGGTATACAACGTACCTTTTACATTGCTAGAACTGCAAAACGCTCTTAACGAGGTTAATTCTTCATCAACTGGTTCAGACAACATCCACTACGACATGCTTAAGCATCTTCCTGAAAGCGAACAGCTTACACTCCTGGAACTATTCAACCGTATTTGGAGTGAAGGCATATACCCTGAGCAATGGCATGAAGCCATCATAGTGGCTATTCCAAAAATTGGAAAGGACCCTAAAAACCCTAGCAACTACCGACCCATATCACTCACTAGTTGCATTAGTAAACTCCTCGAAAAGATGATTAATAGAAGACTGGTCTGGTTTTTAGAAACGAACGGTCTACTTTCGGATTACCAGATGGGTTTCCGAAAGTTTAGATCCACTTTAGATCAATTGGCTCATATAGACACGGCTATTCAACAATCCTTTGCCGAAAGAAAACATTTGGTATCTGTTTGCTTTGACTTAGAAAAAGCTTATGACACAACATGGAGACGAGGAATACTCAACACCTTACATGAATGGGGTATACGAGGTAATATGCTCAAATTCATTTCCAAGTTCCTAGAAAACCGAACATTCAAAGTCCGGCTCGGCAAACACCTCTCTCAGCCGCATACTCTCGAGAACGGTATACCTCAGGGTTCCACCATCAGCGTAACGCTATTCCTGATAGCTATAAACCGTCTTATAGGTACAATAGATCCAGACATTGGAAAATGTTTATACGTAGACGACCTCACGATCTTCTACTCGGACAAAGATATGTCGAACATCGAGATTAAACTCCAAGCAGCAATAAACAGCCTAGTTACAGAAGCTCAAAGTATTGGTTTCCGCTTCTCAGCATCAAAAACCACCGCCATTCATTTTTGTCGGCTACGAACTGCTCACAATCATCCTCACCTGCTATTGAGAAACACCGCAATACAGATCGATGATACTGTTAAGCTTTTGGGGCTAACTTTCGACAGAAAGCTGTATTGGAAAGAACACGTCAATAATCTGATGGTGAAATGCAAAAAGTCTATGAACATCTTGAAATGCATATCGAACATAAACTGGGGTGCTGACAGGGATACCCTTCTCTCGTTATATCGGTCACTTGTTCTGTCTAAAATCGAGTATGGATTAATCATCTATGGAGCCGCAAGGAAATCTCATCTACGACACTTGGAACAGATACATAACCAATGTCTGCGATTATGTATCGGAGCTTTTCGAACAAGTCCCTCGTCAGCGGTATACTGCGATTCAGGTATTCCTCCTCTTGATATAAGGCTCCAGCAGTTGACTATGAATTATAGTGTAAAGATTTGGTCACACCCACCTCATCCCAACTACAACATCCTATACGACCAAGCAATCAACCAAACCTTCCTGGACAGACCTACCATAACACGACCTTCAGGTGTAAGGATTCAAGAAATTTTGAATAGCATCGACCTCGAACTTCCTGACGTTTATAATCTAAAACATAGCTCAACGCCACCATGGACAATAAACAAACCTGTATTGGACTTGCAGTGTGCACGGTACAAGAAGGATGAAACCAATAGCTCCTTATTTCTTGCATTGTTTAATGACACTGTAAATAGTTACACAAACGTTAAAAATATTATATATACTGATGGATCAAAGTTAGCTGATAGCGTTGGATGTGCCTATACATCAACGGGACACGAGCAAAAATTTAAACTACATCCCATGACCTCGGTTTTCAGAGCCGAGCAACTTGCATTGCTTAAAGCACTGGAATATATAAATAACCTCAATGAAGCAGGTACTTACCTAATCTGCAGCGATTCCTTTAGTGCCATTCAATCTATATCTGCCACAAATTCCTTTGACCCATTGGTTCAAGAAATACTTCATTGGCTTGTCTTACTGGAATCAGATCGGAAATATGTTATCTTTATATGGTCTCCAGGTCATGTAGGGATTCCAGGTAATGAAAGGGCTAACGAATTGGCCCGTGAAGCAGCAACCGATACTGTCAACGCCAACAACCTGGTCCACCCGGAAGACCTGAAAAATTTTCTGAAGAATAAGTTGATGTCTGTATGGCAAGAGAGATGGAACGGATGCGAAACTACCCTCAAAAGATACAAACCTACAGTTAAAAAATGGCACCTCCCATCACTACCACGAAGAGAAGAGGTGACGCTTACACGATTACGCATAGGCCATTGCAACATAACACACATGCATCTCATTCGCGGCCTGGATCCACCGCAATGCGAAAACTGCCAAACTCAGCTAACAATTGACCACATATTCTTGGAATGCCCAACATATTCTAGAGTCCGCCAATCGTTTGACATTATTAACAGCCTACAACGTGGGCTCTGTGGCAATGACGCCGGTAGCATGATAAACATCCTTAACTTCTTAAGAGAAATACAAGTTTTCCTGAAAATATAAACATGTAAGATGATACACTTGTTAAACCCTGAATAAGATATTCCATAAAATAGCTTATACAAATAAACCAATAACTAAAACCATGTGACATATAATGCATAATAAACGTACATGCCAGTTACCTACTATTCTCTACTCGATGGGTACTTAACATATAATTCAGTATCCAAGACGCACACTGTGTGATACTTGAAAAGTGAGAAAAGAACCCACCTATTAAATATATTGAGACTTTAAATATATTATTGATGATTGATATTACCTGTGATAAAATGCACTCAGATCTACCCCTGGGTGACAATGACATGTCCTATATGTGGAGGAGGGATACGGCAAATGACATCATCTGTCGAAGCCGTGGGAAAAAAAAGAAAAAAAAAATAATACTAATTATAATAATAATAATAATAGTTATAATAATAATAATAATAATAATCATAATAATAATAATAGTTATAATAATATTAATAATTATAATTATAATAATAATAATAATAATATATATAATAATAATAATAATAATAATAATACTAATAATAATAATCATAATCATAATAATAATTATAATAATAATAATAGTTATAATAATAATTATTATTATAATAACAATAATAATAATAATAACAATAATAATTATAATAATAATAATAATCATAATGATAATAATAATTATAATAATAATAATAATAATAATAATCATAATAATAATAATAATAATAATCATAATAATGATAATAATAATTATCACAATCATAATAATAATAATAATATAATAATAATATATAATAATAATAATACCATACCATACCATACCATACCATTTATTGACCACTTATACATATAGATACATGTTTGAGGTCACAAACTAGATAAAGTTTATACAGTCTGTCTTCTTGCTCTACACACGATCACTGATCACTAGGATCACATGCACTTAAATATTCACTTACAGTATAGAAACAGTTTTTTAACAAATAGTTTTTGACGAACCTAGAGAACTGTTTGTTAGACATCTTCTCAATATTGGACCGCTTATGA